GTTATTTAAACCAAAATTTATATTAATCTTGCCAAAGGTATACGTATGTTTCTATTAATATTGGAAACGAAAATTTCCCCTCAGCCATATAGACGTATTGGGTAATTCTGATATTAATATTTATTAGTATGTAAAGTTATGCATACATTAATATTATTTGATATTATTTGATACCTCTACAGTAATTTGGACTGGGTTCGGTCGTGTATTTCCAGTCGATCTCGGTGAGCTGCAGATTGGCGGCAAGAAGAGGAATATCATATATAACGCTTCCATCGCCACCTGCTTCCAAAAGGAGTACGTTCCAGTCTTCTATCTCGGACAAGCGATTCGCCAAGACAGTTCCTGTAATCACATAAATTGGTAGAACATTAATACAACATTCGTAAAAAGAAATAATTAATTTATTTAAATATCTCTGTTAGGTTGATGATACATTTACATCGTACATGTGAATGTGTGTGTAAGCGTTAGAGGGCGTCTAGGTCTCAGTTGACACAAAAGACTATGGGAGGCTGTTAGAAGAATCTAAAAGAGTCAATTGACAACAAGCGTGCGTGCAAGAAAGTTATCCAGGTCTTCAGAGTGTAATATATATGTATAGCTGTTGTGTGTGAAATAAAGTAAATTATTTGTATTTCCGAATCCTCTCTATACCTTAACAATCTCAAATATTTTTATGTCAAAAGTTGTTAGTTGAAATTCAAAATTTGTCGATACTACAAATAGGATTTCATGATAAACCTAAAATATGTTTACAGAATACATCTGAAATTCGTTTATACGTAGGCAATAGGAAGTTAAAATTTGTACGCCAATTTGCATAAGAACGCGCAACGTCATAACTATACTACATAACAGATAGAATTATTCTTTCTTCCATGCAAACGTACAGTTATGTTCGTCTCTGTCACACTTTTATTAGGTTTATCATGGAATTTGTGTCGATGGTATCGAAAGAACATACCCGCAGTACCGCCACCTACAATTATGAAATCGTAAGACGGCATTAATAATTTAGAAGGAACATTCGTCGCGGAGTAATTAACAAACAAGTACGTGACATATAACGACATGCTCAAGAACGCCGAAAGCACCGATGCGATCGTTCCCGATTGCAATCCTCCGAGAATATTTTTTACGACATCCATTTTGCACTTCTCCGGTTTCCCTTGTCAACCTGTAATAATAAGTCTTGTTACCTTTCTAGTAATCTTGCCTTTCTATGCCTAATAATCTTTCTAAAGATTTTTACACGTATTACGATTTTATCCAGTTCATATTTCGTCTTTGATAAATAAAATAAATAAATAAATAAATATTTGCTTTTGTAAATTTGTTCTCCACAAAAGATTAATAAAAGCATGTGTGTTTAACGAGCGAAGCTAATTTAATTCTTGCTCACAACAAATGAAAACGGAACCTGTACCTTTGAACTATGGTACAATTTGCCTTACACGGTCTAATTTGAATAATAACTTGCACACAATGACATTCACAGGTATCGTACGATGCTGAATATTACAGCAATAAATTTTGTTGCTGTCACTATGTCTCTTTCACAGACAGATCATGACATTGTCAGGTGTAATCGTACCGCAACGTGCCAAAAACGACCATTAAATCTGTACATTTCTGAGGTCAGTTGCTTGATACGTTTCATGGGTACGTAGTACACAGAACGAAAAAATTCTTTAAACGGCATCGATACGGAACATGACAAACACTCAGTAAATATTAATAAAATGATACGGAAATCTCCAACCGATCGTGTTACATTTTCTACGCCTGTTTGTCTCAAAAGATGTATTTTTTAAATTATTTGATTAATTATTTTAAATTTTTGAAATCTGTATGTAGTACACCTATTTCCACGAAATCCGTCAAATTGGCGGGCTAACTGATTTCATGAACAAACCGTTTTTCAAAGACAGCGTGCAAAAGTTTCAGTTATTGTAGACATTTCCCATTATTGTCTCCGCTTATTGTAAGTATTCCCAATAGAATAATTGAATTTGGGCACAGTATTTTCTTTTTTTTTTGACCAATCCCCCTCTTCTAGCAATCACGAGTAAATCCAGGAGATATAATAAGATGTTGAATAAAATTGTCAACATTAATGAAGATTGTTCTGAGGATACCTCCGTAGAAGATCAATATGAATTAGGCCAAAGCGAAGCTGACAGTGAAATTTCTGAATACACTGAAAGTGGAGAGACAGAAGGATCTTCGAATAATGAAGACGAAAACTTCTTAAAAGTATATCGTAACAAGGAAACGATGATGACTCTTTCTAGTTCTGACTCCGAGGATGAAAGGACGAGCATTCCAAGCGCATCCCAAAATGTAATGGGTGAAATTGAAATTTCAATTAACAGGACACAGTGGATAAATGTGAAACGCGTGTGGATCCAAGCGTAGGACGCCCATTCGTATGATATTCAAGGATATCGCAAGGCCTACTGGCTATGCTGAGGAAAATATTATATCGGGATGTATAACTAGCGGAACATGACAAACACTCAGTAAATATTAATAAAATGATACGGAAATCTCCAACCGATCGTGTTACATTTTCTACGCCTGTTTGTCTCAAAAGATGTATTTTTTAAATTATTTGATTAATTATTTTAAATTTTTGAAATCTGTATGTAGTACACCTATTTCCACGAAATCCGTCAAATTGGCGGGCTAACTGATTTCATGAACAAACCGTTTTTCAAAGACAGCGTGCAAAAGTTTCAGTTATTGTAGACATTTCCCATTATTGTCTCCGCTTATTGTAAGTATTCCCAATAGAATAATTGAATTTGGGCACAGTATTTTCTTTTTTTTTTGACCAATCCCCCTCTTCTAGCAATCACGAGTAAATCCAGGAGATATAATAAGATGTTGAATAAAATTGTCAACATTAATGAAGATTGTTCTGAGGATACCTCCGTAGAAGATCAATATGAATTAGGCCAAAGCGAAGCTGACAGTGAAATTTCTGAATACACTGAAAGTGGAGAGACAGAAGGATTTTCCGAATACACTGAAAGTGGAGAGACAGAAGGATCTTCGAATAATGAAGACGAAAACTTCTTAAAAGTACATCGTAACAAGGAAACGATGATGATTCTTTCTAGTTCTGACTCCGAGGATGAAAGGACGAGCATTCCAAGCGCATCCCAAAATGTAATGGGTGAAATTGAAATTTCAATTGACGGGACACAGTGGATAAATGTGAAACGCGTGTGGATCCACGCACAGGACTCCCATTCGTATGATATTCAAGGATGTCGCAAGGTCACTGGCTATGCTAAGAGAAATATTATATCGGGTTGTATAACTAGCTCTTTCGAATTGATAATTGAGTGACACATAATGGAATATTGGACTGAACCGAGACCTGTCGAGTTCAAAAAAAAACTGTATAATCACAAATGCTGAGTTACGTAAGTTTCTAAAAATTATGTGTCTGGGACACAAACGAAGCGAGATCCTTAGAAGTTTTCGAAAGATTACATAAATTTCTGTACATAAATTCGCGCTGATATTCGAAATATGGGAAAGATTCATTAGTAATAACCAGGCATATTAGAATCTACATAAAAATTTTTAACGGCAGCCCGATACAGGTTTACGCAATATATGCCGAATAAGCTTTATAAATTTGGCATTAAGTTTTGATTATCAGTTGAAGTTCAAACGAAATATATTTTAAATGGTTTGATTGATTTAGAAATTCGATGCTCATGGAAACAAAGCTCAAAATGACTTTGCTTTCCTCACATTTGTATAAATCCGTTCCAGGAACCATTGCTTTTTACCATAAAACAATGCTTGGTGTGGACGTGGTCGACCAGCTGGCATGCAAGTATAGTGTAAAAACAGGGAGTTTCCAATGGCCTCCTCAAGTATTTTTCAATATTTTAGTTTCGATAGCGATAAGTGTGTTGATATTATATAAAGAGTGCACCAGATCGAAAATATCCAGAAAGGAATTCATATTTTGTTTAGCCGAGGAATTAGCTGAAGAAAACGAGGAAAACATTTTCCAATGATCAGACGGTTCATTTCTGTGACGTCACCAGTGCGAAAAATTTGCCAAGTGGATTATTGCAAAAAAATATTGCAAAAAAACAACATTCAGTATATTTGCAAAAAGTGTGTTCAATAGATATGATTAGCCTGTATCGTTAATGTTATTGTTATTTTTTTAGTGATAATTTGAAAAAAGACTTTATTTATTAACAATTTATTTAAACGCGAAGTTTAATATTCTTCCTTTCAGACTCAATTTGAATAAATCGATTTTTTAAAGAAAATTGCGTATTTTCGTTTACCTGTCAATTTGACGGGTCCCGTAGAGATAGGTACACTATATACGGATTTCAAAAATTAGAAGGCCTAGGAAAAAATAATTTTGTGCATAAATTCTTTAGATGAAATGATTAATTTACTATGCAAAATGGTTAAAATTGGTTTTTGAGATATTTCATTTCGAAATTCGAAAAATCCAGTGTTAAATGCCCTGCATTTTGTACCGCAAATCAGACAAAGTATCGAGTGTAATTATATCAGTTACTTTTAGTGTTGCTATTCGTAGTTTTCGCCATTTACCTCTTCACGTTTCTCCAAAGAGTGTCGAAACGATGCTCTGATTGATCTCGCACAGCTATACCCTTCTGCGGGGTGATATCCTCCTTTCTTTTGAATGGATACGCGCGCAGAAAGCGCGCAATTCAAATACTATTACAGCAATTAAAAAATAAAGCAGCACGAATAATACAAATCTCACCACTGAACGAGAGGTGCGATTTCAGACGAAGAGATTTACACTGAGGAACAAACGCAATTAAACATAGCCTACTTCTATTTGGATATGACGATCTTTCCAACGATGAGAAAATTAATCAAACCGGCTGAGTAGTTTTTGAGGTTACCTTGAACATACTGGCACCCTTATATGGAGATCTTCTCGCTTTATAATTTTTATATTGGCGGAGAATTTCGATATGCCAACTAGTGTCAGAAAATTAAACTGTGAGTATGTCAGGTATCGATAATATGATCAATGTTCAAATCGACATGAGTATGACAAAATTATTTTGTGCGTGTAGAGGTTATGTGAAGAGGATATAGGTGCGTGAGAATTAATGACGAGATTACTTGTTGTTGCAACCGCCGAATATATTTAAATCGATAAATTAGTACACAGCCGTAAACGTGAGTCGTTGGTACGAAGTATAAATCGCAGAATATAATCGCGGAATCAATACTTGTAAAGACTTGTCGCGTAACTTGATAGACGCTCGTGAGATACTCAGAAAATACTCTCGATACTATTAGGTACACGGTATGTACTGTCGTTCGCGATCGTCTTCGTTTATTTATACTGGTGGGGGGGAGAGTCGAGAAATTGAAATTCGTCTTGATTCGACGGTTGAATGTAGCGGTGATATTGTCTTCGCCCGGAGTTTATTTATCGTTGTTTCAAGGCTATGACAAAGTCCTGATGAAAAAAAAAAAACAGCACGTGTCGCTCTCGACTCGTGTCGTCCTTTAACTCCTATACCGTTACACTACCCCCCCCCCCCCCCC